AAATTAACTCTATCCCAGCCGAAACCAGGACAGAGCTCTATGAAATGTTACTGTTCTCTGGATGCAATTTATACAATACTTTTAAAAATGGAAATTTAACCATCTATTTTCTAGCCTGGGAGTGAGAAGACACTTCTTGGCATCCATTACTTGCACTTCAAGCTTTTAAAAGTACTCTTTTCTTTGACTCCACGTCTCTCAGCGCACCTAAGGGATGCACAAATAGCCTGTCTGTACATATATTGTTGTTGCTAAAGTGCATTCACCATTCTGTCCTGACTCACAGCACTCAGCATTGGGAAAAAACATAGGTCCTGGAGATCATCACTTGTTGGATTAAAATAGATGAAGCCAAAGCTATCTGACCACAGTATATTCAAGCATTACTCCCTCACCAATATTCTGGTTCAAGTACTTCGTTAAAAAAATGTTTTAAAAAACTTAAACACTTTAACACTTAATTTTGAACTTTGAACTTCTGAATAAAAAGCCTGCTCTGCAAAATGTTACTACAAAGGAAGCTTTTGCCTTACTTTGATCCATTGCACCAGTAACAATTCCAGATGCTATGCTTCTGTTGCCCAAACATAGACAAATTTTGCTCAGTTAGTGAGCTGGATAACAAATTCAGGCTTTGCTTACCAGTGTGCTGTTCCCTTATGAAACACAATTCTGTATGTGACTCTGTGAACCCAAACTTTCATCTTCTGGACATCACCCACTTAGAAGCAAACCATTTGTGCCACAACAGTGACACTGCTCAGAATGACACAAACACTGCAATGCACTAATGTAAAGAAAAAAATAGATAGCGAAGATGCAAAGACACTGCTTGTTTTTGAGCGGAATATAAGAGTTAGGTCAGCAGTATCAGAGAAGGTACTTTTGATCCACACCTTGAGTAACAGTAAATGAAAAAAACAAACAAACCCTCCCCCACAATAATCCAGATATGTGAGGCAGTTAAAGATAAGGATCTATGCTAACTTCATAAAATTACAACTGTTATTATGCTAGTTTATTTAGTAGCTCATTGTGGTAATACTTATGAATAACCACAGCTAAATACATGTGTGCTTTCAAATTTCCTTGCATTGTGTTATGTAATGAAACATCCTTTCCACACATTGATGGATTTTTTTTTTTCTCCTTCACTAATCCTCAGTGAATTTCCAATTCAAGACATCTTTAATGAATCTCTGGATATGGTGACTGGGTGTTATATATTTTTATTATTTTCCTTCAGTTCAATTTAGAGTATTCATGATAGAATTTTTCAGCACTGCATTTATTTTTTTCAAGCTTGTTTGTTAAGCTGTTACTGCATAATACTGTACAAAAATAATACAGGTTGATAATTTAAAGAACTTTTTACGAATTGCACCTTCACAATATTTTTTTTCTTGCTCTTTCCACAGGACGTTACCCAAAATTAGTGTTTCACTTTGAACTCAAGAGAAACATCTTGTATTTCATACTGGAGACATACGTACCATCAATCCTACTGGTTGTGCTCTCCTGGGTATCATTTTGGATAAGCCAGTCATCAGTTCCAGCCAGAATCTGCATAGGTGAGAAGCTGCTAAAACAAACCAAGAGTTGGATCATTAAGATGTTTTCTTTATTGCACATATATGGCATCCATTTAAAAAAATTGGGAACACTTCTGAGTTTTATGGAATTACTGTCTGGTTTGCCATGTGCAGTACATCATGCAGATTCCTCTTAAAGCTGTGCTATTCTTTAACTAAGAAAACGTCTTTGGGAACTACAGGAGACTTGGAGGAAGGGGAGGCTGCTGAAAGCAAAGGGAAGCTCAGTCATTTTGGAAATAATTTTAACATATTCAAACACATGGCATGCACAGACAGAATTGTGAGGCTTTTGTGAGGGTTAATGATACATACTAATTAACACATGAGTAATAAGAGAATTATAAGAGATTAAATATAGTTAATTTCAAATAAAGGAGATTCTGAAAGGGAAAAAATACAAATCAGTTCTGATCAGACTGCAGGTAGGGTGGGAAAAACATTCCTGCAGAATAGGGAAGAAAGAAAGATTTCATATCAAATGAGGCCAGTGGGTAACTGCACTGAGAAAAATGATATCTGCGTGTTTTAAAGGCAGCGTTTGCATAGCATTGCAATAATAATGTGTTAATCATAAATACACATTCTGTGACACCAAAATCTCTCTCACTTTAATTTCCAGTCTTCTCAGATTTACAAACAGTTTTCATGAGTGTGTTTAAGCATTTAACTTGAGAATCACAAGTTCATTTGAAAGTCTTCTTTCCAAAACATGACGCATTAAATGCAGTGGCATACTAAGAGTTCACAGAGCCAGGAAAAACTGTCTTTGTAGCAGGGCCCTTGCAGTAGAGGCCCTTGTTGCTATTCATGTTTTATCAGAACTTACATTTTTGCATTCCACAGGTGTTACCACAGTCCTTACTATGACAACACTGATGATGGGAGCTAGGACTTCACTCCCAAATGCTAATTGCTTTATTAAGGCAATTGATGTGTACCTCGGCATCTGCTTCAGTTTCATCTTCGGAGCATTGTTAGAATATGCTGTGGCTCATTTCTGCACTCTGCATCGACTCAGTTCAAAGGAACTTCAAGAGGTATTTTAATTCTTGATTGTTGTTCTACACAACAGGCTTCAATTATACCTGCTAAAGAGAATGCATTATTTTAGCATTAATGACAGCTGTATTGAAGGAAGTTTCTATTTTAGAATAAGGATAGTGAAAACAGAATAACATTGAGAAAAAGAAAAATTATTTGATTACCTAGAACTTTTTGGAAGAGATCAAACTGAAACACCCTTCCATAATCATTCTCTCTTTTGGCATGGACTTTATGGCCATTTGTCAAACAATGTGCTAGATGCATCACAAAAATCATAGGCACTTCTTGTCTCCCCACAGTGACGTATGCTTACTTACAGTTCAAAAATCAGACTGAGCTTGGTGACTTGATCTTATTGCAATACAGCAAAAAAGAAGAGATTTTATCCAACTTCATTTATGAAATCTTCTGCACATTCATGGTATATGAGTCAGTTTACTAGCAGGCAGCTTCAGGTACTAGGTGTATCAGATCCCTATAGTCTTCCACTTACACCTTCTCTTTCAACAGCTGCAGCTGAAGGTCAGACTGTGGTTCACTTTCTGTGCTGCATCATTATTATAGCAGCATTTTTTGCTGCTCTAATGAGCTTCTCACAACCTGAAATACTGTGAAATATACTTAAAATAAAATGGGATCAAATCAACATAAGCATTTTTGAGTCTGGTGGCTGTCATCTTGCTGAAATTATCAGGACAGGTTCATGAAGTCACATCTTCCTCTCTAGTGTTTAGCACTGTTTTTATAAGCAGTGAAAACGAAATCACAAGGAAGTTGGAAGCTGATTGTCTTGCAGCTTTTAATTACAGAACTGAATCTAATATGCATGGTAGAAAAGAAATTTTAAGCAGATTATGAAATTTCTGGATGAATAGAAAAAAGTGAAACATGGACAGTGAGAATAACAGGAAAAAAAAGCAGGAGAAAGTTTGGTTGAGTGCTGTAGGGATAAATGTCCAGAAGAAGAAAGATTGTTAACTATTTAAGCCAAACTAGAACAGAGCATCACAAATACATAAGCAAAACTCCTCCGTAGGCTCAAGAAACAGGATATTGAATTCAAGTGGAGAAACTTAAAACCAATGAAAATCAGCCAAGATGTGCGTTTTTTATGCCTAGATAGTTTAACAATTAATATGGAATTTTGGCTGTTTGGATGAGAGATAGGTGCTGTAAATGCACAGGAATATGTTCAAAGCTGTCATTAGATCTAGGTGTGTGGCGAAGGACTGAAAAACGGACACAAAACTGAGCCAGCCAGTGGGTTTTAAAAGACAACATCTAACGGGGGAATGTCTGCAAATGGGCAAACACTCGCTTCGAATGAGGATTTGAGTGGAAAGCCTGAAAGTAATTTTACTTGGCAAGGTAGCATCAGTGACAATTCCCTCTGAGCATATTCATCTTGCGAAGTAAGTGGTTGTCATTTTGCTCATAGAGCAGAAAAAAAAAAAAAAAAAAAGCTTATTGGAGGTTTGGGCAAGAAAATAAAGTGTTTTAGTGCTTGGATGATTAAGCATCTTTGGGTCTGTGAAGGGCACTTAGGACTGCCCTTGCCTTCGCCTACCTGTTTCAGATTCCCCTTCATCTGGGGCACGTGCTTGCAGATGGGGCAGACATGAGAACTCATGGACATGAAAGGCATGCATGGAAATAAGTGAAGGTACAGCCCTAAAATGAGGAAGGAAGAAAGACTTAAGGTACAATTTTGTGATGGACTTAATGACTGAAAGGAATGGTCTGTCACTTCAGGCATGTTTCCTGCCTTCTCCTGTGCATCAGGAGTGAGCAAGGCAGTCCAACTCACTTCTTGCCCACACAAACACAAGCATAGAAGGGAAGGGGAAGTTGGTTGGTCCTAGAGCAACTCCAGACTCCGTAGAATAAGGAAAATGCCTGTCATGTCCTTTTCTTACTGTAGCCAAGGATAAGCACCGCTTACTGAGTGGGGTGCCATGGAGAGCACACCTGACTTGTATTTCTCATTTCTCACTGTAAAAAACAAAACATCACAAGGACAGAAGTAGCAGCTAAAATCTCATGTCACTGTCTAGCAGGTACTTAAATTTCTGTGAGTATCATAGAATCATAGAATCATAGAATCATCTAGGTTGGAAAAGACCTTTAAGATCATCCAGTCCAACCATTAACCTACACTACCAAGCCCACTCTAGACTAATCAAGGGTAGACCAGACTAAACCATATCCCGAAGTGCCACATCTACCCGTTTTTTAAACGCCTCCAGGGATAGATCATCACAATAAATGTGTTCTACTCACAAAACATCACAAGGACAGAAGTAGCAGCTAAAATCTCATGTCACTGTCTAGCAGGTACTTAAATTTCTGTGAGTATCATCACAATAAATGTATTCTACTCATTATCATATTCTCTTGTGGACATAGGTTAATTAGAAATCTCACATCCCAGTTTGTTATTCCCATATGCAAGCTGATACAAAATTTGCACTCAGTATTATGTAAATAAATGTAGGAGGTGCATTGAAAATGTAACCCTCTGCCTTGTATAGGAATTAGTCGTACTGGTTTGCTTTCTGCTTTGCTCTTTAAAGCAATTCGGCACTGGCATATCGTGTTCTTCTGAAGTCCTTGGGGTCTCCAGTTTAGAATATAAACTGGTGAAACAGCTCATCATATCCACACTCTTGCAGTGTCTCACATCACGTGAACCAGGACCCTCAGAGACAGCTTCAAAGCTAATGGCAAAAGCAGAGGAGCCACCTGCTGCAAGGAAGGTCAGGCAAAATGTGCCATTCATGTCAACTGCATAACGGACTGCCTGAACAGAGAGGTTCCCTCTCCAAAATGCTGAGTTTCTTCTATTTTATACAAAGATGTGGATTGTGCCCTCCTATAAAACAGAGAATTCCTCCTTGGCCTTCATCTGTCTTTCACCTAAACCTCTCCCTTTTGGTCAGAAAGGAGAAATGTTTGAAAACTGAAAGTAAGGTTACAACGCCAGTCTTCAGCCTACTTGGCATTTCCGTGCAAGCGTTGTGCAATCTTTCTGAACACCGAAGAAGCTCTGGGTGTGCAACACTCTAGGCTGAAATATTTTTAATCTTGCGTGTCTTTATTATTTGATGGAAGTGACAACTTTCCTCAATTCTGTTGGCTGTTAGATGTCATCAAACACTTCAGTTAGCATAAACAGCAGCTACAGTAGCACATGCCATATACAGTGCTTTTCAGGTGATGTACAGTACCTTTCCTGGATGCTACCAATTTTCTATCCAAACAGTGCCCTCCTTAGTGCTAGCTGCCATTTTCTCATTGACAGCTGGAATCCAGAGAAAACTTAGTGTGACATTTAAAATTAGAGTCATGGTTGAACACTTGGAACACAATTTTTTTATATAGTGTAAACCACCTTAATCTTTCATCACATTCAGTTCTCCATAGCGAGTTGGAAAAGTCCCTTGATAGTTAGTCCCAGTTTATAAGACTAGTTTTTTTATAAACTAGTGGTTGTGGTTCTCCTCTAGATTAGCTTTCTCCTTTTGAAGCAATGTTGATACAGAGCTTTTGCTGCAAATTAGCCTCTGTTCTGTGAGTGCCCTGCCTTATAACACTGCAAAAAGAATCAAGTACATATGCACCGTGTATGATATTTTCTTCTTAAGTAATAACTGTCTCTTGGGGAGTAGAAAGGAGTTAAGAACAGCCTAATAAAGCATCAGCCTCCTGTGCATTGTTCACATGCAGTTGCATGAAAAGAAAAATGGCACGTACGCAATGTCCTTTCATGCTCTGCAATAAAACTAATTCTGTACAACTTTTAGTAAGCCCTACCTGAGAGACAAATAGATTCTTACACTGAATAATGCCCCAAATCCTACCAGTTTTGAAGTACAGATGTTGGTTTGCTCTTTTTTCCCTTTCTGAAAAATGAGAGCAGTGGAAAAAAGTCAGGACTCTTCTGACAGGTTTCTTTATTTTGTTAACTTTTGAAGCACCGAGTGCATTCATTAGGCTGTTGCTCCGATGCCTTGTTTCAAGTGCCAGGCGCTGCTGACAAAGGCTCCTCTGCCAACCCCAGCGCTTCCCTCAGCTGCCTGAACTTTTGGAAGAAGAGGAGCTAGATATTTATAACAGAGTTAGGCCCCAAGTAGAACTTCAGGTTTCATTTTTAGTACTACCCTGGGGATTGTTTAAGGTTCAGATTGGAATTTTATGGATTGATCGTCTTAATGCTTTATAGGTAGATTTTTATCCTGGCCTTTGGTTTCAAAATTCTCATGTAGCTGCAGGAGGCTAGGTGGAGGATGAGCAAGGTTTTGTAGTGAGTGTATTTTTAGGATGACACATTGTGTTGAGCTACGTTTATCTCTCTCAAATAAAATATACCTGATTTTTTTTTTTTTTTTTTGCAAATTGAAAATGAAAAGCAGTAATAATCTGTTTTTGTAGCTCCATCTGTTCTGCTTCACTGATTCACAGCAGTCTGAGGACATTGTCCAGACTCCACTTTAATTTTCAAGGATGTTACTAATTTTAGGTGAAGAAAGGCTCAAGAACCATGCCATCTACAAGTACCCTGGGCAGAAGAACAATTCTGCACTGGCATGAAGATCATTCAGGTGGCTTAATGAGCTTTCTTTGACCTTAATAGCTGGGATATTTCTAAATAAGCTTTTTCTATGGCTATACATAGGGCTGTACATCTTCACTTTTCTAAAATTTGTCCTTGTCTAATCTATTTCTTCTCATGATGCAAATGGAAAAAGCAAATTGGTCAGAGGAAGGAGATTCTGCATTCTACATTTCACAAACAAATTTTTACCCTTTTCTTGCTTGTATGCCACTCGCTGATTTGGAAGGTAATGAAATCATCAGGAGAAAATTAAAATTATGTGTACACCTGCCTGAATTAAAATGACCCCTCCTCCAACTATACAAATTTAGGTTTAGTTTAGATACAAAGTTGGAGCCAATCTTTGTAGGTTGGATCTGCTGGTATCTCTGCAATATCCCAAACCAAACTAAATGCCCCAGAACTTTCAAGAAAGTTTGTGTTTAGAGCTGAAGCTGCAGCTGATGTCTAATCCTGTGTCCTTTGAGTCAGTAACAGAAAACGTGCTGACTTCAAAGGGTGAAGATTTCATACATGAACTTCATGGCTCTGAGCCATTTCTAATCAAAGAAACAAAACCTACCAGAAGTCTTATACAACATTCTCCAAAGAGCTGTCTTGATGCAGTGAAGCACATAAAAATGCGCTTAACCTTAGTATAACTTTGAACTTAAAGAATGGGTTTCAGGACTTGAAAGAACATAGTATGAGCTATTTAGTATTGAATTAGTTGTGGGGTTTGTCCTTCTTTATGATCCTCTTTTTTGGCGCTTTTTTTTTTTTTTTTTAAGTAATTCGGTTTTCAACACAAAGCACTGGGAATAGAGTCGCCAACTGCAGAGAAGGAAAGTGTCTTGTATTCTGGGGTGCTTGATTTGGGGTGCAACCTGCTTGCCCAGCTGGTCTGGCAGCTCCCCCACTTTCTCCATCTCCAGACTGGGGCTTTGCTTTACCCGCTTTCTAGACACTGACCTTTGCCAGTATTTTCCCTGAGCAGGACAGATTATTGTTGTGCATTTCATGGATTTGCTGCTCTTAAGTAAAGATTAGTGGGCCATATTTGAACAAATCCAGCTTTGCTCGACAGTCCTACGAAAGCTTTTGCAGTAAGATGTTGTTTAAGTCAGTGTTTTTCCTGTAAATGGAGGCTTTGAAAGCTGAGAGGAGCTGTCTGGTGCATGTAGGTGCTCACCCTTGAAATCAAGGAGCAAGCTACAGGAGGAGTTGTAAGAAAAATCCTATTATTTGCTGTAGCTCTAAAGTAAATAGGCGATGAAACAGGCACTTAAGTACCTGCTGTTTTGTTTCCTATCAGGATGAGGGTGAAGAGGCTGAAGGAGAGAGGAACGGAGACCTGGCAGCAGTTGCTAACAGTTGCAGTGCCCCTGACAATACAAATAAGATCGATTCAAACAACAGCAGCAAAACCAGCATTGGCAGAGAAAGGGAGAGAAGTAAACACAGTGGGTGTAGTTCACCAATGTCAGTAATGAAAAGACTTTGCTGTATCTTTGATTGTTTCCATGTTAAAAATCCTTACCACATAGACAACTATGCCAGATTTTCTTTCCCGTTATCATTCATCATAATTAATGTGTTTTATTGGGTGTATTATTTGTATTTCTGAATATTTTAATGTGCAAAATTGGTGTATAGTTTAGAAAGGGATATGGGAGGGGAAGTTGCAGAAGAATAAAGAAGTTGCATTTGGATAAAGGGATACGAAAGGACATGCCATCTTTTCAAGCATTTCTACAAAGTTTCTTGTTAAATCACTTTTCCACTGTTAAATGACTGTCATCCAAACCTGACTTTCCTATTAGCATGCATCTCCCATATTAAACTATTTATCAAAGGCCAATAAGTCCTTTTTTAATATTTTAATGGTCAGCTTCGTAAAATATGAGTTATATTACACTTGCTTCTGAACTGCATTGAATACATTTAAAAATAAAAACAATGAAGGGTTGTTTTCCTGCTATGCTTTCAGTATTCAGTTCCTTCTAGCTTTGTCAATAATGCATAAATTTTCCAGATTGTATAAGAAAATGTATAATTGCTGATCAAAGTGTTTTTGCTTCATAGAAAGAAACAGCTTTGAAGGCATGGGCTACCAACACAAACCAAAAAGTATATTCATCTTTTTAAGGTCATAAATATGTATTGAGACCCTTCCCTACATCTTTAGACAGAACTCCCATAGGCATTAGCAGAGACTCTTCCCTACGTCTTTAGACAGAACTCCCAGAGACATCAATGGCTTTTCTGAGTAAGTGCAGGGCAGAATATAGAAATGGACTGGAGCCAAAAGGCTTAGATCCAGAGAGATGTTTTTCCCAAGTGAGGACGTACTTAGGCATTGGCCAATCCTTAATAGAATATGGCCATTTATCCTGATGTTTATACTCTGCTCAGTCACAACAGCCTGGGTAACTATTATGCAGAGGAAAAATTTGATATGCTTAATTTTCAGCTTAGCAAATTTCTCTTGAGTCACTTGCCATTAAAAATTTCACATAAAGATGAAAAAGCTTACTTCTTGAATTGAGAAGAAAACCCTGGATATGCAATAACTCTTGAAGAAAAAAGGGAAAGTTTTACACAGGTGAAATTACGATCCACATGAAAGAATAGTTACACTTGATGAAAAACTCTAACAGTCTTTCTGAGTGGTTACTTCACTGACAGATATTACAGAAGTTACTGATATGGCAACCTGTTTCTTATACTGCAGTCTGGAAGTTTAGAAGCACTTATTATTATACCTTCTTCCTGACCATAATATATGTGTGGGTTGCATAGATATGGATACATGTGTATGTGTGCTTTTATAGACTGTGTACCTTGACATTTATGATGATCTGACACACTGCACACATAAAAATGCATTAAAAAGCCCCCATAATATCGAGACCCTTTGATACACCTTTCTACCAGTGTGCTGCCTGTGAAGAACACTATTACATGAGGAGGAGGAAAGTGCAAAATACCAGTGTGGGTTAGATTTGCCCCTGCTCACAACTAAATCCATGAAAGTGGTGTAATCATTGCATACAGGTAAACAAGTATTAGGTCAATAAAATCCGCTCAGTATTTTTATTTTCTAAACTGGTTGAGCACTGAAAGCTTGTTTCTCTACTGTTATCAGTAATGTCTCTTGCAAGGCTTATTGAGGCAATGTGACTTCAAGAACAGTCTAGTGGCTTTTGGTTCCTTGTGAAAGCAAACGCATTCAAGAAAGCAAACCAAGACTGCATGTGTTAAGGGCAAGCTAAGAAAAAGTATGGTTTTTTTATTTAACATTCTGGTGTTGCAGATTTAACCTTAAACCCTTTACTCAAGAACAGATTCTGTGAGATTTTTTTTCTTGGAAATGAGGTGTGGAACTGAACTCTGAGATCTCTTTCCAGTTCTTACTCCCATAAAATTCACAGAAGACATATGGTAAAGCTCTGTATTTAGTTTCTTAAATTTGAAGTTTACATTAATCCTCAATGTTTTCAAATAGTTCATCCACACATTGTGAGTTACCTGTTGTGTTAACACTAAATTTGGAATTTACATTTACTACAAACATAAAGTAAGAATTTAGAATTTTGTAGCTTCCAAGTAACTTGGAGGTAATTCACCTTAAACATTCTTTTAGAAAGCTGTTGAAAGTCTGCATGGATTTATTTCCAGTGCATTAACTCATAACAAGATCTGTTTTCTCACTGATGTGCTAATTGTAAGCAGTTAGGCACTGAAGTCCCCCATGTTTTAATGAAAGAATAGCTTGCACAACCAGATTATTTATTATTATGCTTTGCATAATACTGCATTAATTACAAATTTGAGAAACAAAATTTGGTTTGACATGAATTTGTGTAAGTAGAAGATGTTCCCTCCAGGGGACAAAGGAACAGATTTTCAGTGCAGTGTATGAAGACTGAAGAACAGCATTTAAATTATCCAATTCAACCTACAAAACTGTCCCCAGAAACTACCTGATTCCTTGGAATTAGCTGGAAAGGCTCTTCTAAGTAAGTGGCATTCATGGGTAATGCATTGAAGGCCTACAAGTCAGAGGTAAATTAGAGATGGAGAAGTCTCTTCTGGAGCTAAAAACAGGGGCCGAAGTTGAGGCTGAGGCACTCAAAGCTAGCCTTGACATTGAAAATGGCTTTGTTTTCATACCTGGTGGAAAGTAAAGGGGAAAGACCTAGGATTTGTTGCAGTCATTTTTCTGGTTGAAAGTTGTCTTCTCTTTCTTTTGCTTACTTCTATTTTAATGTTTTCTTCTCAGGGACCTTCTTTGACTCTGTATTCAGAAATGTCCTGTTATATTTTGAGGAACACTTGAGGCAGATGTACAACTAGGGACATGAGGTAGGTGAAGGGTGTAGTGGTGTGAACAGATGATGCACCTTCATGTGATTTACTTTGCGGTTAGCAGGAGGTGCCCTGCTTTTGATGTATCTGAAGGCAGCAGCCAGCCCAAGGAATAAATTTCCTTCCTCTATGGAATACCCCATGCAATGCTACAGGCTTGGGAAAGCGTGGCTGGAAAGGTGCCTGGCGGAAAAGTACCGGGGGGTGTTGGTCGACAGCTGGCTGAATATGAGCCAGCAGTGTGTCCAGGGGGCCAAGAAGGCCCACCGCA